GCTTTAATTTCTCAAGAGGACCACCACCAGTGTCACATGAGTTCATAATATCACACATGCAGTTTCGATCACATAGTGGTGTACATAATTTTTATTTAAAATTTTAAAGTACATGTAATTTGTTATTTCTCAGTAATTTATTTGTATATTTGGCCTACTAATAACGTTCAATGGTCTAGAAGCCAGACCCCTTTAAAATGGTGAAAATGTGGTGCAGTTCTGGCGACCGAATGGGATGCGATTTTTCACAATCAGGAATGATTAAGCTTTGATTTTAAGCCGGTTGTCATCAACTATCATGCGTGACTACCGCGCAGGGGCCCTTTTAAGGTGCAACATTTCATTTCAGTTACGGTAATATTTTAACCGATAACTGGATCCTTTAATTCAATAACTTTGGTTTGGTATAACCGATTTCCATCAAATAAATAGTTTTGGAATGCTCAGATCATGATTTATAATTGTGGACAATAATAATTATATATTCGTGGTTGCAAAAATGTTTTGGTAAGGTCAAAGGTCAGTTTTATGGAAAATGCATTTGATGAGAATAATATGAGATAAACTTGACAAATTATTGGTAATTTTACTACAAATATGGTTTTCTAGATTCATCATATATCATTTGAAGATCATATAAACGTTTGGTTGGCAAAGTATGCATGATAAATCATTACAAGGAAACAAAAGTTGGTACTTTCTATTCAGACCAGCAAAGTCTTACACAATACCTGCGTTCAACAGTAACAGCTCCATGCTTTACAAAGCATTAACAATATCAAATATGTCGAAGATACTGTTGGACTATCTAAAATTGTCCGTTTATTGACAGTCTGGCAGAAAAATCAATTCAGCTGATGTCAGAGGGAGATGTTTTGATAAGTGTCAAGATTGTTTATACTTGTGTCACTTCACGGTCCACCTGCACTGCACTGACATGCTGTAAAACCCTTAAAAGTGGTGGGTAACAATATTATATCCATTTAGAAGGTTTATAGCTGACATTATTTTATTATGGTGCTCCAATTTCGTAGTGTTTACAGTGTGAAATATTACGACTTTGGTTTTCTTGATTTATTAGAGCATAAGTCTAAGCCTCAGGAGACTGGAGTACTGTTTGTCTGTGTGACGTAAACTCAATTATTGGAGATTTTTAAAGAGTGTAGTACCTATTGTCTTTTTGTTGTCGTCGCAACAATGGCAGAACATAATTGTTCGGATGTCAGTCCATCCAAAATCCCCAAACTATGCACAGATTACACCAAATGTATATTTTGTCAAACCACGAAGAGTGTACCTTTATGCACTGGGAGCGAAGCAGGTATATATCAAATTGCTGATGTGCTGCGACTTGACCTGAGGGATGACATCAGCGTACGAATCAGCAAAAACATTGAAAACTTGATTCAGCTCAATCCCAAATGGCATAAATCATGCTATACAAGTTTCACTAGTAAACACAATCTCAAACGACATACGAGTTCAGCATCTGAAGAATCATGTGGTTCCCTCTTTCCCATGACTCGGTCAATTCATTCTTCATCAAAACCAAGAGAATGTATTATATGGTCCTCTGTTGTTGGCAACTTGGAAGAAAGTTCATCACTTCAAGCTTCTGAAACACTAAAGCGTGTGGCCTCACTTCGAAATGATAACCATGTGTTAAGGAATTTACAAGAATGTCAAATTTTGAGGAGAAGCATTAACATTTCATAAATCCTGTCGAAAAACATACACATCCGCAGAGCACATCGCTCGTTTAGACAAAAAAGAAGATGCCGAAAGTGCCATAATACAGGCTTTCCAAACATTGACCGACTTTCTGGACAATGAACTTTTCTTTCGCAATAAGATTGTACAACTTACTGATTTGAGGGACAAGTTTAGATCTTTCCTTCAAGACATGAACGTTGATTGTCAAGGCTACCAATCTAGTCGTTTAAAACAGCGCCTACTACATCATTATGGGAACAAAATATCATTTCACACACGAAAGGATCCAACAAAGAGTGAACTTGTCTTTGCTAAGTCAGCATCAGGCTTAATTGCAGAACATAGCTTGACAGATTCTGTAAAGGAGGACCAGAGAATTCAAAGTGGAATGTCTGATGACATTATCCTCACAAAAGCTGCCAGTCTTCTCAGAGATCTTTGTTGGATCCTTTCATGTGAAATGATATTTTGTTCCCATAGTGATGATCTTTCATTCAAGACATGAACGTTGATTGTCAAGGCTACCAATCTAGTCGTTTAAATACAGCGCCTACTACATCACTATGGGAACAAAATATCATTTCACACATGAAAGGATCCAACAAAGATCTCTGAGAAGACTGGCAGCTTTTGTGAGGATAATGTCATCAGACATTCCACTTTGAATTCTCTGGTCCTCCTTTACAGAATCTGTCAAGCTATGTTCTGCAATTAAGCCTGATGCTGACTCAGCAAAGACAAGTTCACTCTTTGTTGGATCCTTTCGTGTGTGAAATGATATTTTGTTCCCATAATGATGTAGTAGGCGCTGTTTTAAACGACTAGATTGGTAGCCTTGACAATCAACGTTCATGTCTTGAAGGAAAGATCTAAACTTGTCCCTCAAATCAGTAAGTTGTACAATCTTATTGCGAAAGAAAAGTTCATTGTCCAGAAAGTCGGTCAATGTTTGGAAAGCCTGTACTATGGCACTTTCGGCATCTTCTTTTTTGTCTAAACGAGCGATGTGCTCTGCGGATGTGTATGTTTTTCGACAGGATTTATGAAATGTTAATGCTCTCCTCAAAATTTGACATTCTTGTAAATTCCTTAACACATGGTTATCATTTCGAAGCAAGGCCACATGCTTTAGTGTTTCAGAAGCTTGAAGTGATGAACTTTCTTCCAAGTTGCCAACAACAGAGGAGCATATAATACATTCTCTTGGTTTTTGATGAAGCATGAATTGACCGAGTCATGGGAATGAGGGAACCACATGATTCTTCAGATGCTGAACTCGTATGTCGTTTGAGATTGTGTTTACTAGTGAAACTTGTATAGCATGATTTATGCCATTTGGGATTGAGCTGAATCAAGTTTTCAATGTTTTTGCTGATTCGTACGCTGATGTCATCCCTCGGGTCAAGTCGCAGCACATCAGCAATTTTTGATATACCTGCTTCGCTCCCAGTGCATAAAGGTACACTCTTCGTGGTTTGACAAAATATACATTTGGTGTAATCTGTGCATAGTTAGGGGATTTTGGATGGACTGACATCCGAACAATTATGTTCTGCCATTGTTGCGACGACAACAAAAAGACAATAGGTACTACACTCTTTAAAAATCTCCAATAATTGAGTTTACGTCACACAGACAAACAGTACTCCAGTCTCCTGAGGCCTAGACTTATGCTCTAATAAATCAAGAAAACCAAAGTCGTAATATTTCACACTGTAAACACTACGAAATTGGAGCACCATAATAAAATAATGTCAGCTATGAACTTTCTAAATGGATATAATATTGTTACCCACCACTTTTAAGGGTTTTACAGCATGTCAGTGCAGTGCAGGTGGACCGTGAAGTGACACAAGTATAAACAATCTTGACACTTATCAAAACATCTCCCTCTGACATCAGCTGAATTGATTTTTCTGCCAGACTGTCAATAAACGGACAATTTTAGATAGTCCAACAGTATCTTCGACATATTTGATATTGTTAATGCTTTGTAAAGCATGGAGCTGTTACTGTTGAACACAGGTATTATTGCGTAAGACTTTGCTGGTCTGAAAAGAAAGTAACAACTTTTGTTTCCTTGTAATGATTTATCATGCATACTTTGCCAACCAAACGTTTATATGATCTTCAAATGATATATGATGAATCTAGAAAACCATATTTGTAGTAAAATTACTTATAATTTGTCAAGTTTATCTCATATTATTCTCATCAAATGCATTTTCCAAAAAAACTGACCTTTGACCTTACCAAAATATTTTTGCAACCACGAATATATAATTATTATTGTCCACAATTATAAATCATGATCTGAGCATTCCAAAACTATTTATTTGATGGAAATCGGTTATACCAAACCAAAGTTATTGAATTAAAGGATCCAGTTATCGGTTAAAATATTACCGTAACTGAAATGAAATGTTGCACCTTAAAAGGGCCCCTGCGCGGTAGTCACGCATGATAGTTGATGACAACCGGCTTAAAATCAAAGCTTAATCATTCCTGATTGTGAAAAATCGCATCCCATTCGGTCGTCAGAACTGCACCACATTTTCACCATTTTGGGGGTCTGGCTTCTAGACCATTAATGGAAAAGGACAAAATACCCAAATGAGTTTAAATGGGGTGGGTACAATTTATTTGGTTACTCAGTGGAAAATTGGGATACCCAATTGAGATGAACACAAGCGAGTACATAACTCAATGACCCAAAAAGTTATCTGTAGCTCTGATACTTACACCGACAAAGATTGTCCTCCCGATGGGGTACGTAGTCACAAAACATTTAAGACAAATTTATGCTTACCAGATGTTTTAAACGTAGTATTTTTGTAATTTAAAATTATGTCTAGATTTACTTACATTCGCCAGTGGCTGAAGGGATGGTGTAAATCCAACTAGGGTCCATGCACGTAGCAAAGGGACTGTAGGTCCCCATGGTCCCTGGTATGGTGATCTACCTTCAGATGTTGGCGATCTATAGCCTGTTTTTATCTTGTATCGTCCTCAATAGTAAAACTGTTTGAGATTTAATTACTAGTTTTGAATACATAGATTAGTGATAGTCTAGTTGGTTATACAGATATTTTATAATGATTATCCTGTTTCCATCGCTATATGGCTGTAATATTGCCGATGCCATGTAAAATTTTAACTCACTCACTCACTACACCGACAAACAAACCTATAGTTATGGTGTAGCGAGTATCCACCGTTATGTTATACAATACCCGTCAGTCGCAAGGCAGGTTATAAATACATTAGCTGCACATATCGACTTTGCAGCGAGTGTGCACAAACCGGGTGTAACGTGGGAGGGAAGGACAGGCTTGAATAACAGCAGTCAACCAGGAAGCTTCTCACCTGAACTGAAACTATCTGTGTTGAAGAAAGACAACAGCAGTTTTAAATACATTAGCTGCACAAATCTGGGTGAGAGAGAGTGGTAAGCAGCTTTACACTATATTTTCATCTTAAAACCGACGGAACCGACAATTATATGACTTATCACAGCTGGATTGTACTCCACTGGCTTGAAGCTCGTCAAACATTTTTATCCTCCGAGGCAGTATGTGTATAGTAGTAGTTAACCCCTGTATGCCTGGGGTGACATGTGTCCCTCATCTTCTACATATATCATTCACATTAATACACTTTGCAATGTTGAATTCTGAGGGATATTTCCCGTTTTTGGGGTGTCACCGACTCTCATCTTTGGCAAAGCAAAGATTTTGAAACCAACCTCTGGGTATTTAGGGTACACCGGAAATGTCGCCATTTTTCACACATTACAAATTCGCAGTGATATTTCGTGTATGTTTGGAAAAGTTAAAATCGGATTGAATTCCAAAAATAACATATTAGTGACTACTCATGCCTGTGTTTCTTTCTGCAAATCACAAACGATACTTCTTAAATGCCTACGATAAAACAGGTCTGTTGGGATGTTTAGGGAAACACGATCGCGAACGCGGAAGTGTCCCCCCATACTGTTGTGTTTACAAAATCACATTTCGCGAAGCCCGTTCATGTGACGCCTATTGCATTACGTATAGTTTACACCTTGCTGCAGCGTATGTTTCACCGGATTTCCTCATCCATAAAAATTAAGATCCATGACAACGACGTAATATTCATGCGGCTAATATTAAAGACTCTAAAACGAAAGTAGGTATCGATCGCTTCCCAAGTTCAGAGTGACACTTTGTTATTATGCCTTTTTTCACGCTCGTTCCATTGACTTGCTATGTTCGTGCACTGAGCCACACACAAGCCATTTGATTTCCTGGTGGGAAATACCAACACGACGCCGGTGGATTTATCCCTTAGGCTTCATAGCACAGAAACATGTTAAGAAAAAAATGAAAACTATATTTCATAGTGGTTAGTTTTGTCTTTGTGATTTCTGTTTCAAACACAAGTTCTAAAATTTGATCAAATCTCGTCACTGAAGCGGAAGCGGGACAGTACGTGTTGACAAACAAGCTGCCCTTCAAATCACATCTGAAAGTAAGCAACAACAAACCGCCATTGACTAAGGTTGAGAGGAAATATATGTCGAACTAAACATATGACGGTACAATACAATGATTTGGTAGATTTGAATATAATTATCAAAGTTCATACTATTCAGCTGCTTTCAGTTTCAATATTTTGAAGTATATTTTGTCTATCTTTTAGACATTGTTTCATCAATCTAATTTCATTATGTACATTTTGCCTTGTTAAATATTGCCTGATACGTATATCATTGTGATAAGCTATGTTTATACTTTGAACATTTTTTAACAATATTTACATCAGAAGCTGGCACTTTCAGAGCACTGTATTTTTTACCATTAGACGAGGTAGAAAATGAAATATGTACGTATTCTCAATGGTGTGTAATAATCAATATTGTAATGTGTATAGATAAGATAGTGAACAGAGGTTTCATTGAATCGCATAAGTATAAATGACTACATAACTTTAAGAAGGTGATTCATATTTTTCATTAACTGTACATGCACACACATACATAGGGGATTTTCTTGGTCATGGATTTTGTATATGGACAGAACAGTTATGTCTAATGATTCGCCAGATGTGTTGTCACAAAACGGTTCAATATTTACTTATCGTTTCTTTCTGACACTGTACGAGATTTACGTTAAACTTGTGTCAAACGGGTGTCCGAGTTGTCCACATATAGATACACAGTTAACCTATCTCATAGTTTATCACATTATTGAAATAGTCATTTCATGTCCAGTCAAAAGCTTGTCCGATTCTGACTAACCGACCAAGACTTTGTAGCTGAGATGTATTCTGCTCAACATATTAATGTCGTCTTCTTCAGACCACCCCCACGTAATCTAAAGAGAAAGTGATGTCGGGGTTGCACGGAAAAGTTGTTGGTTCAGAAACTGGTGGACCTTTGAAGAGCCAGGCTCTCAAATTCTAAATAGAAGACATATGTTTCAGGGCGATTTCGTTAGTCCTTTGCTCCTTCAACCCTTCTTATTCAGAGTGGACGACACTGACCGTGATTGCCAAGGGACAATCCACGGTGAACAAACAGACGATCCTTCAACCCGTTTTTTCAACGACATTTTATGTCCTTCGAGTTATCCATCTCACCCAACCCAGGCTAATTTCGTGAAATACATCTCAGCAGTGTGTTTAAATAATAAGTACATTTCATTTATTTACAGGTGATCTGCCAAAAGGTCATGTCATCGCTAAGACATTGGATTTTTGGAACAATAGTATCTTTATGCTGTAAGTAACTTTGAATGTTTGGATGCGTATTTCTTTCACGTCACCATAATTGCAACAGATGCGACAATCCAATGCACACACAATATATATCTGCACAACCATCTTATCAAAACGGGTGTAAAATAGACGACAAATCGTAACCATAACTGTAAGTAATAAAACAATATTCCGCATGTTCTGTGGTAAATGTAAAATAAAGCATACAGTTCATGTGTGCATGTTCTTGTCACAGTTGTACAATCAGAAGAAAACAAAAGCTAGTGGTCAGTAGGTTTAACTGTGTTTGTAATTATAGTATTTAAACAGGTTTATTTCCGTATGGAAATGTCACTTTGAAAATTAAGCAGCACATTGAAGGTGGTATCATTCTAAAGGTATAATGCTGTTTGTGTGGTTACTTCATAGACAGTTTTCTCTGGCAAAGCGAAACTTTACTTAGATATAAAGAGCAGAAAAACAATTGTTATGATTGCACCTGAATGTTGAAAATGGATATGTTTGCTGTTTTTCAATGCCGTGTTCTCAATGCAGACAATTTTCAGGAGATTTGTTATGTTCCTTTGGCATTTATACGTTTCAGGTTAAGACAAAAACATTGTCACGACCATAGGAGCCCAAATTGGGAATTAGATAACTGAACATAATTATATTTAATTCTCAGTTTAATACGCCCTTCACACTGGAGGCAGAATGAGCCCGAATGCTGTTGGAATGAATATTCCTGGAGATTCACGGAAATTCGAGATGCATTCTAAAACGTTTTACTGAATTCCGAATGCAACATGTTCAAAACTTTCCAGGTACATCCGAAGTGGAAGAATATCGAACAGTATTTGATGTGCATTCTAACTGCATTCTAAGTATTCTTACTACATTCTAACTGCATTATAAGGGTGTATACAGAATACAACACACAACATCTACATGTAGGTTGTACATACACAGATTAAATGTATGACATCATAGGATGTCATAAGTAGCCTATTAGATCTAGTGGGTACCACTAACGTTTGTTCATTTCTAATTTCATTACCTAAATTAGATGTTGATACTTCAGCTCTGTTCCCCATAAACGTTCATCAATGTAACCTTTTGACAAGGGTGGCTTTTAATGGTGGAATTCAAGACATAGTTACATGTTTCCCAAATCAAAACTAATTCTAGTTAAATGGAAATCAGTTTGTAAAAGAACTCGAAGTGAAACCAACAAATGTGTTTTCCAAATGCATTACGGTTGAAGTTCGAAATAGAGTAACAGTGCAATTCAAAGGCAGCATATAAAAGAGGTGATTATATCAATAAAGACTGAGATGCTAACATCCCCTTCATTGCGATCTCCACGCAATTGCTGGTTTTCGTGTAACTTGATGCGTAAAGATGCGACACAATGGACAACTATCTTGGTCAGGATATAGTGGAAAGTCCATAGGGTTGTAGTTCCCTGTAGAGCTATTGTCTACATGCTAACTATACGTATTACAAATCTACTGCATTAATTTGTAAAAGTAGTTAATCTTTATATCACATTCTTAATTTTTAAACATCTCATCGTTTGTTGATGGTTTCACACCGAATTCTTTTACGTTCAGATTTCTGACGTAATTGTCCTTACATTAAAGCATGTGTCTAAATGGGTATGGCATATGTGCTATGACAAAACTTGAAATGTGGATCACCTATGATGTGTTTCAGGTTTGACTGTACATGGTAGAGAGGAGTGCGAACCTGGAAAGTATGGAGATGGTTGTAGTCGAAATTGTTCTCAAGGCTGTAAAGCTTTTCCAAATAACGAAGTGCTCTGTCACAAGGAAACTGGAACATGTTTCGAAGGATGCAATGCGGGAGTGTACGGTGACCGGTGTGATCAACAGTGCAGCAGAAATTGCAAAGAATACACCTGTATCCAGCAAAATGGACACTGCGTTTTGGGCTGTATAGAAAATCACATCGGCGACTTCTGTGAGACTTACCAACAGACTACTGTCGTGCATCAAGGTTAAAGACGTTTAATTATATTAATATACGATAAGAGGAGAGTGAACGTATAATGCGAACGATGGCAAGTTCAAAATTTCATTTGTAATATCATCTTAACACATTTAACATAAAAGCTTTACTGTATTTTAATAGAAGTACTATACTAGGCACATAAAGAAACTGTGCATTGTCAAAATATTATCCCAGTTGATAAGTACGACAACAATGTCAAAGGTACATATAAACTATAATGGAGGGATCATGAGACCATAACAAGTCGGGAGAATTTCAACTGAAAAGTCAATCACAATGACGTCACGAGTCCACAAGCGGGACAGGGGCCAAACCACCATGTCACAAGCTCAATAACGGGTATGTCCACCAGCGGCATTGAGAACAGCAGTGCATAGAGCCTATCAAACGTGCAAGGAAGGCTTGTGGGATGTCACGCCAGATTCTCTCAGGTTCTGTTGCAAGGTCAAGGACGTTATCTGGCGGATGAGGAAGACGGCTTAGACGTCGATCAATCTCGTCCCAAACATGCTCCATCGGGGAGAGATCCGGTGAATTTGCAGGCCAAGGCAGTAAGTCAACGTTGTGGTGTTGCAAGAAATCCATAGCAACCCTTGCCGTATGAGGGCGGGCATTGTCCTGTTGGAATGTTAACCCAGGGCCATGACGTTGCAGAAAAGAAATCGCCACAGGTCGAAGAATCGGATCCCTGTAGCCCACACCAGTTAAGTTGCACTGAACAATCACCAAAGGAGTTCTTTGGCGTGCTGTTATTCCACCCCAAATCATCACGGAACCACCACCAAAACGATTCCTCTCCAAGACACAGGCCTGTGCATAACGTTCTCCCACTCGTCTACAGGCACGTTGACGTCCATCACTATGAGAAATGTTAAACCTGGACTCATCTGTAAAAACAACATTTTTCCACCAAAACAAGGGTCTGCGGACATGATTTCGGCACCACATTCGCGAGCTTGTCGATGACGTTGTGTCAGGATAGGCCGTATGGCGGGACGTCGTGGTCTGATCCCGTGATGACGTAAACGTTGTCGAACTGTGTTGGGGTGGATACGGCGAAGTCCTGGGATGGTCCGGGCAGTCATCACTGCAGTCTGAAACCTGTGGCGAAGATGGGTCACCCATATCCATCTGTCCTGTCTTGGCGTTACACGTGGACTTCCAGAACGTGGCCGATCGATGACGTCATTTGTGTTCTGGTAACGTCTCACCAGTGCAGACATGGTGTTCGGGTGGCAGTGGAAATGTGCAGCCATTTGTCGTTGAGACATTTCCCCACGGACCATCCCAATGGCCTCATGTCGTTGTGCGGACTTGAGCCTTGGCATGCTATGCGTTTCAATAGCCGTTTAATTTTTTGAACGATTGCAAGGGCAGGGGTTGAGCTTTCCAAAGTGACAGTATTGTGTGGCATTCATTTGCTCTGTTTCTCTTTCCGGGACTGCACGTGCAACAACGTCTTGCACGTCCCAAGGACGAACCCACTGACGTCACGGAACGCGGCACGAGCATGCATGTTGGAAACATATCACTAATCTCTGAGTTTAAATCCTTATGTGTCTACACAGGTTTGATAAATTTAGATTTTAATTTGTTTTATGCACAGTTTCTTTATGTGCCTAGTATATGTTCAGAGTGTCATGTATAAACTATTTGTAAGAGGTGTGAATAACATTAACCGCAATCATATCTTCTGTTAGAAATTAAACTTCGAGGATTCTGAGTGTGTGTTCACGTTATCATGTGTGCGTTTATCATTATGCAGGTACTACCTACAGCAGTCACACAACCGTTTCCACAGGTGTGGCACCGACAAGCAGTTCCCAGGTCGTCATTCCAGTTGTTGTAACAGTACTTGTCCTTATCCTTATCCTTGTGGGCGCAGGGGTTATCTTCATATGGTAAGTTCTAACAAATTGCTTCTTTTGTTCATTTAATGTTGATTGCGATAATAAGCAATATTCCAGCTTTATGACAGAGGCCTGTAAATAATTCACCATCAGATAATAATTGCCAATCAACCAGACAATCCATTGATTCATATCATGGACATCGATACACACCTCAGGGACAGGGTGTCTGCATCAGTCATGTCAACCATCTTAAATCAGATCCCAATAATCGTAACAAAATACAGACCTAACTACAAATCATAGAAGACAAGTTTGAACGACCAAGTTAAGTGAGTCATGGGTAAGAGTGATCTGTGTGTCTTGGTAAGAGTATCCTTTGGCTGTTATCGTCAGGTTTAGTGACACCAGTTGTCACAGTTAATACGAATAAGAATGAGTAATGGGCAAAATGTCCAGAAGTGTAGGTTTTCATTAAACATGATTTATCATGAAGTAGATACATAGGGGGTTTTACCTCCGATAGACCACTGCACGACCTGCGACAGTCTTAAAACTGTTAAACCTTTTTTTGACTGGCATGGGTTGCTGAATACCTATATCTAGCCAGATTTGCACGGGACAATGAAATTGTGCGCTGGTGGAGACGCATCGAAATGGCAAATCTTTAAGAGTTTTACAGTTTCGAGGTACGTCATTCCTTTAACAAACCGTGATGACAAGTTTCTTGTCACATGCACCTCGCGAGTCAAGTGTGTCTTAGATGGAGTAACTGGTTGTTGGTGGAGTCAGGAAGATGAGAAAAAGCACATGTCACAGTTGATGCCAAGAGGAGTTATTGATATGTATAAGTGCCCCAAACTACAGGTCTGTCCAAATCCGAGATACTTAGTGCTCTTTCTAAAAATAATATAATGTACGCAATTTCAGAATAAATACATGGCTTTGTTGGCAATATATTGATTGTACAGCATAAACAACAGGAGCACCTCACAGGTTCGCCCTGACGTCCTTTATCGTACAAGTCTCACTGACCTCAAAGTGACGATGAAAGAAAAACATAAATCACAATAATTGTGTCGCTTTTCGACGTTAGTCTTGCTAAATTGCCTTAGTATGTATGGAAGAAAAAAGACCTTCTAGCCCAATCGATGTTTATGCTACAGTTAATGTGTGAAACAAGGGATTTCACGTATTCCCTAAAACTTCAAGGGATTTCATGAAATCACTGAATCTTTTAGGGATTACATGAAATCCATGGTTTCACACATTCCCTGCAACTTATATACTACCAAGGAAATGAAGTAACACAGCATCGTTGATGCAGGATTGTTTTAGTACAGAGGGAGTACAGTTGACTTCAATAGCTCTGCCTCTGGCTCTCACTCGGGTGTGCTGCTGGTGGAGGTGATTGGTTTGGGTCAGCTCTCTGTCTGCCTTGCCGTCTGCTGTCTCTGAAATAACCTTCGTTTATGATAGGAAGTAAATCGTGACTTATTTTAGATCGCCTGACACGCATTCTTGACTACTTCCTACTGGAAAGTGAGTGATGTCCAATATCGCCTGTCACGATTACCCTCTAGCACCGGGTTGGGGACTCTTCACGCACAGCCTATTTTTTTAAAGATATGTAAATGTGTTAACTGAATAATTATGTGAATCAATCTCAAAGGCCGGCACCAAACATGATTCACAGCAATATGACTTTAAGAGGGTGGCAAGCTACCCAGTTCCAAATAATGGAGTCGAAGCTGATGCAGTTTTGCGAATTAGTCTTCTTCAAAGCTGAACGAGTTGTAATAAACCTCATGTAAGTCAGGTAGAGGCTCGGAGGTGTTGGCAAAGACGTGTCCTGAAGGTGTTTACATTTACCAATATGAATCTTATGGATAGCTGTTTCTCTTGTATTTCGTTTCTCTTTTTAGGCGCAGAAAGAAGGAGAGGAAGAAAAGTAAGTAAACATATTCTGTTTTCATTTCATGGAGTTACCAATACCAATTCCAATCAGCATCAAGTGCGCCTGAAACTTCTGTTATTTTGTCATTGCCATGTGTCATCACGTCTCCCAGTAGAAATCTGTGAGAAGATGCCACTGAAATTAAATATGTCATCAGGCTATTGATTTACTTGCTTTGATAGACGGCATGCGATGTTGTTTCTGATATCACCGACCTGTTTCTCTTGTTGATTTCGTATTTACGACTGTCAATCAAAAAGTAGTCGGCCTAACTATATTCCTGATGTCCAATGTTTGAAACACTTCCATTTTATTTTGAATGGATCATTAGCAAAGCCATATCCAAACTTTCACATATTTGGGTAATGTGATTAACGAAATAGTAGCCATCACAACAATATTTCTTAAAGGTCACATGCAACGTAAAACACAACTTTGCAGATGCTGATACCTTTCGGTATGGACTTACCGAAACAAATCATCAAAAATGCATATTCAACTTATAAAGTTGAAAAATAACGCGCACGAAAAAACCGCGCGAAATCGGAGTTCAAACGATTCACTAATTTTCCCCCAGCGCTTGAGGGGAAAGTGGTTTCAACAGCTGGGCTGCTCTGCGCTGGGCTGCGCTCATAGCACATGCGCAGTGAAATAGGTTCGTGCAGCTTGGAAGTGGGTTGTCCGGTGAATACTCGGTGAAGGCTTTGGCATGAGCTATTTTTCTAATATGTTGTTGATATTTCACAGGCGCGAGCTTTTTATATGTTATGACAGTAGATTACCGATTTAACTGATTATATAATTTCATTTGTCTATTTCACCACACGTTCTTCTTACCGAGTCACTTTCTCAGTTCGATACTTAAAAGCAATGTCATTATTTAGCGTTGATAGAACTTCTAACATTGATATAGATATGTCGTTGTCACAGACAAAACTCAGTGTCTTTTTTATTGACACCTATGTCTGCCTGCCTGTCTGCTAATGACAATATTCAATACACAACTTCGATCACTAACCACATGCAATTTGAACTTAACACATATCAGGCTATACACCATAAACAAAACGCATTCATTTATGGCGCGAGTTCGGTCTCTGTGACATTTTGTAATTACACAGACAGGCCGGTTTTGATACTTGTACACATGACATGTTATGATGTCTGTTGATTGCAAATTTTGCATCTTTTTATATGCACTTTCATGTCTCAGTTTGATTCCAGCGGACTTCTATCTATCTCAAACGTTTTGGGGGCTATCATGTTAATAAGTCAAAATGGGGATCGTGGCGCTGGAACATAGCAAAGGCAGTTTGCTTGAGGTTGACAGATAGTATATAGAAAAATATAACATAAAAAGAGCTCTATTTGCATCATTTTCGAGGTGAAAGACCCTCGTATTTGTGGGTTACCATAATCATAAGACTTAAAATGTCCTCAAAAACAAACTTAGTCGTTGTCATTGTGTCCACTAAACTTACAGTTGGAAATTTTGTTCTTAATAATACATATTGATAGGCCTAAGTTTGTGGTTGCATTCGTTTTGGTTTATGCTTCACAGCATGTATGGCACATGACCATAGAATAGATAAACATCAATATGCTGATTCAGTACACATCACATCTGATTTCCTTTCTCATCTTCAGGGGCACGTGACTCCGAGGTTAGGCAGAGTTGTCTCGAAGGTATGATACTTTGACAAGTATACATTTTTAAACATATCCTATCTCACGATTTGCACTTCTCTCTCTTGCTTCAACGCTGAGTGGAACGAATGAGAACTTTCCCTGTAGGCCTCTCTTGTCCATATGCCCGTTTTCCCCAGGCTGTTCTCTTTATTGGACAGGTCCCTAGTCCCTGGCTGAGCATGCAGCACATTCCCCTATCTACCCACGTGGCTACCTCAGAGTGATCATTCTCTTCTTGGAGCTACCGCCGTAATCTGAGTAGCGGGGAGGCCTGGTGGACGTACATATTGCGTGAGACAGGATAAGTATAAACATATACAATATATAGTTAAAATTTCAATTTTTTTAAACTTATCCTGTCTCACGATTTGCACTTCTCCGACGGGTGGACGGCGGGTCGCAGATTACCCTAAGTAAAAAAGCACTGACAGTATACACTGTATAGGCTAATGACAACCGTAGATAGCAATGAACAAGGGGGGCTGGATCCGACTAGCACAGTACCTATGCTAGTGATGGGTTCTCCTGAACTCCTTGGCTTACTAGACACAATTGCGGCCAAGGAGTGGGTGCTCCCGAGTGATGTGGTGTTCGGCCGCAACCCTAGTATATGCAAGGGGTTGCAACTAGGCGAGTCACCTCACGTTGTCACGATTTATGAGAGTACCCCCGTAAGAAATTTCTTATGACTAGCAATCGGGCCTGCACCTGCTTCGAGACAGCCCCTCAGACCCAATCGCTAAGAAGGGAAAAGGAAACTGAATCGGAAAGCTCACAAGTTTAACGTTCAGTACCAGAACAACACCACATGGCTTCCACTGCTTACTACAATATGACCACAACGGTGTGCTAAGGTACTTAGGAGCTAGAATGCTACGAAATCCACAAAGGAAGTCGAGAAGGACTCACTACACTGACGTGATTGCTCCGTAGAGTAGAGTTGGTTGACAACGGTGGGATAGTAAACATTCTATCCGGTTGTCCTGGTAACTTGTTCTTTGCAAACAAAGACCAAACGCAGTCCCAGAAAAACTCTGCAATGCCGATTCCGTCTGAAACGCACATGAGTCACATCGAGTGTGTGTAACTCCTAAATACGAGGTGCAGTAGCTAATGCTACTAGAAAGAAAGCTTGAACGTTATTTGTTCGAACTCTTTATCATGCAGCGACTCAAGTGACGGAGGACAACTGACAAATCCCAGGAAGTCTGATCAACGAAGCTGATACTGGAGCTAGGGAGTAGTAGACACCTTGGTTCCAGTGGTAGTGGCTGGAACCAAATTAATGGCAGCCAGATAGGTTGACAATGTAGTACCTTCAGTTTTTTTTGGTTCTTTTTTTTGTAGCCCGTAAATGCTGTAGAAATTAGGAAACAACCTGGGGAGATGCAGTGGTGGGAGAATTAATTCTCCTAATTTCACAGGAATTCCTTCCATTATTGTCACGCAACGATCGAGTCGATGTCCTATGCGCAGATATTATAACTGTAGCGACTCTAAGTGAGTAGCCCATGGCTATCAGTGATTTCTGTAAATTCGCCAGACGTGCAGATGGAGGGTTAGTGATGACCCGTGGTACACGTCTGAATGTGGATGACGAAGTAGAAGTTCCGGGAGGGTAGTGGTACTGTATTCGGTTCTGATAGCTTTTAGGCCAACGAGCCATTTTTCACTGGCCAAAATGCCGCCACCAAAAGTAGATGAATCTTGCTTGTCGCAAGTAAGTTGAACTACCTTGTGTAGTAAAAGCCGGGGGGAGGTGGAAACTAGCTAGCATTCAGGCATTCCCAAGATATGGCTAATGCATTGTGGTCCTATGCCTGGGGGTCCCTGGTTAAGCGTGCAGCACGCTCCCCTATCTACTCACATGACTACCTCAGAGTGATCATTCTTCTTCGTGTCGCACCACTGTGTGGACGTTGTCAGTTTTCCTTAGAAGTTATCATGAGAAATATATCGTGGGTAGCTGACCCTAAGTAGCGTAATTTTGCGCACAGTGTAAACAATATTTTCTTTCTCGGATCCCCACTCGTCCTGTGTGGATTGTATTGGCCTGTGTTTCTGGAACAAGCGCTGTCGGGAATGTCTTCCCTTATCAAAGACACTTTTAGAACATATAGTCGAGCTTGCGCCCGTTTGCTGGCAGACAGAGCTCGTTATATGTCAACAGGGCATGGTCGATTGATCACCCTACAAAACCCCTCTTTTGACGACCCGTATTAACTGCTCGTCGTTCGAAGATTCCCATGTCGGAAGGTAATGTTTGTGCCCCAGGACATTAGGGACAAGACTCAGTACTAGTGCTGGCCCAACCCGGAACTCTTCTCCAGTGGCAGCAGTTACTAGGGTGGTTGACGTCGGCACAAGTGCTGACTTACAGAGGCCAGCAGCAGTTTTGCCCTTTTCAGATGTTTGTGTGCATCCGGGACGACAAACCCAGGGAGTTGTTTCGTCTTCCTGAACAACTAGACCCAGTCCTTCGTTGGTGGCTCAACGGGCGGAATGTTTGCGGCGCAATCTTTATGGTGCCCTTCACACTGACATTCTCATTCTCGCCGTTCAGCATTGGGCAGTCCTCCCATCTACTGATTCAATCAGACAATTCAATAGTAGTATGGTACATAAACTATCAGGGCTCGACAGAATCGGCAGCTCTGCTTCTGTGGACGTTTCGATTTTATCATGTAATGAGTTTACTCAACATTGTGGCCAGAGCCCAGGAATGCCATCGCCAATGCTCTGTCAAGTACCAAGCACTCGTCAGCCACGGAGTGGAAACTACTGCCTCTGATATTCCAATCGATGATCTACCCGTTGTCACGATGAGATGTAAATCTGTTCACCACTCAGTACAGCCAGCAATTCGCGTCCCCAATCACGCATAAAAGGCACTATGGTTCAACCGTTTCACTAGCAGTCACAAAATGCCACGGCTCAGTGAACAGCAGAGGGAACAAGCAATCGGGTTGCTGTTGTGGGAACATCACAAAGTGAGGTCGCCCACCACTTCGGATTGAGCCCTGACCAGGACAAACTCCGGTCACGATGGCCATCCAGACCGGCACATCCGACAGGTTTACCAAAGACAGCAGCAAGGACAGCCTGAAACACCGTAGGACGTAGAGGACGCCAAATCCGCGCCATAACATCCATGCCACGTCGCTTCGTGCATGTGTACAGGCTCAGGGAGGTCACTCTCGCTACTGTTGGACTTAAGGGGGGTCTGTGTGTGACGTGTCAGCCATATTGGCGGAACTATTGTCTTCATTTTTTATGAAATTAAAGCACAATGAAATATAAACATAACTGTAGAACAATTTTCATCCAAGTGTTGTTGTTTGTTAAGTTTTCCTCATTTGAATTTGGTTTTGCTTTTCAATGTGTGTCTGTATACTTTTGGATGCGCCGTTTTCGCCAGCGAGAAGCTGGTTCGTTGGCCTAAAAAGCTAACACAACTGAATCCAGTACTTCTATCCGCCCGAAATGTCCTACTTCGTCATCCACATTCAGATGTGTACCATAGGTCATCACAAACCTGCATGTTTGGCGCATTTACAGAAATCACTGATAGTTAAGGGTTACTCTCATAGAATAGCTACTGCTATAACATCTGTGCACAGGACATTGACCTGATTGTTGTATGACGATAATTGGAAGACATTTGAGCATTATTGTGTAATTAGGAGAACTGATTCTCCCAACGCTGCATCACCTCAGGTTGTTGCGGAATTTCTCCAGCATTTATGGGCTACAAAAGAACCTTACAGGTACTACATTGGCAACGTGTCTAGCTGCCATTAATTCGGTTCTAGCCACTATTGCTGGAACCAAGGTGTCTACTACTCCTGAGCTCCAGTATCTGATTCGTTCGTTCAGACCCACTGACCAGTCTAGGAAGTTCAGACCTCCTGCATGGGATTTGTGAGTTGTCCTCCATCACTTGGTATCCAGTGACCATGAGCCACTACATGATAAGGAGGGGTTGGAACAAATACCGTTCTAACTTTCTGTTTAGTAGCATTAGCTACTGCAGCTCGTATTTAGGAATTACGTGCACCTGATGTGAATCATGGGCATTCTGAATGGAAACGACATTTTCTGGGACTGCCTTTTGACTTTGTTGCAAATAAACAGTTGCCAGGACAACCGGATAGGATGTTCACTATCCCACCGTTGTCAACCATCCTTGAGTCCATGCAGGTAGCAAAGGCACTTCAAGTCCCCATGAACCCTGATATGGTGATCTACCTCCAGTTGTTGGTGATAAATAGCCTGTTTTTATATTGTGTTATTGTGTATAATGATATATTTTTATGATAGCGTGCTAGTTATAAATTAAGAGCTGTGACATTCTTGTAGTTTAACTGTCCTTCGCTGACAGGTTTTAATTTTTTCAATTTATTGTTTCTTATATTGATATAAGTTCAATTATTTTCGTCACAATATGGCTGAGATATTGCCAATGTGACGTTAAATATAAACTCACTCACTCACTCAACCATCCTTGAGCGAGATGATGTAGAAGATTTCTCTCTCTGTCTTGTCCTGTCCTGTCCTGTCATCTTCCTAGTTGCCTCCCAAGAGCGTCGCCATCTTCACAAGAGACTATTCATCGTGCTGTCTACTAAGGCTGAGTTCTTTCGGACATCCTTCTGGATGCGCTACTATACTGAGGGCGTATGCTTTTGCTGGAATTACATCCCCGACCCAATTCATATGAGACCCGGGCATTAGCCTCTACGATGGCTTTACACAACAACTGCTCCTTGACGGCCATCATGAAGGGTTGCTTTTGGCGCTCAGATAGAGTGTTTTTCCTCACATTATCTGAGGGACTTATTTGTCACTCACGTTCAGGGTTTCCAACACTTTGAAACACCTTCTATTGGCCCAGCAGGTGTCATCAGCCCATCAAGGCAGATGAGTACAGCGCGTCAATTCACTCGATCTCCAATACATCCTGAATAAAATTCTGAATTGTCCTTCTGAGTTTTGTTCTCAATTCTTCAGGGATTAGAACTCTTTACTCAGTTTTATTGGGTTATTGCAATTACTGTCTATATACGGATCTACAGTTGTTAGTTCTCGTATTTGCGATGTAGAAGTGTTCGACAATCTCGCTTGCTGACCTCTACTCCACGGAGCAATCATGTCAGTGTAGTGGGTTCTTCCCGACTTTATTTTGGATTTCGTGGCGTTCTAGCTCCCAAGTACCTTAGCACACCGTTGTAACCTAACTGTGGTAAGGAGTGGAAGTCATGTCTTGTTATTTTGGTACTGAACGTTAAACTTGGGAGCTTTCCGATTCTGTTTCCTTTTCCCCTCTTCGAGATGGGGCCTGGGGAGTTGTCTCGAAGCAGGTACAGGCCCGATTATCGGTAGTAAGACTTTAATTACGGGGATACGCTGATTAATCGTAACAAAGCAAGGTGACTTGCATAGTTGCATCCCTTTGCATATGCAAGGGTTCGGGCAGAACACCACATCGCTCGGGAGCACACACTCCTTAGGAGCGTTTGTGCCTAGTAAGCCAAGGGGTTCAGGAGAACCCATCACTAGCATAGGTACTATGCTAGTTGGCTCTGGCCTCTCTTGTACCTTGCTATCTACGGTTGTCTTTAGCCTAAATACTGTATACTGTCAGTGCTTTGACCTGGGCTAATCTGCTACCCGCCGTCCAACTGTGGGTTAAGTGCAAATCGTGAGATAGGATTAGTATAAAAATTTGGAAATTAATTTTTTAACTATAAATTGTATATTTATATACTTATCCTATCTCACGCGATGGATGCCCGTCCAGCCTCCCCACTTCTCAGATTACGGTGGCTACAGTTAAGTGTCATTGACTCCAGTAAGAGAATGATCACTCTGAGGTAGTCACGTGGGTAGATAGGGGAGCGTGCTGAACGCTCAGCATGGGACTAGGGACCTGTCCTATAAAGAGAGCAGCATGGGGAACACAGGCGGCGTATGGACAAGAGAGGCCTGCAGGGCTCCCATTTGAAAATGACTTAAGACCACATTGAAACATTTTTATGTGCGTTTAACCCCTGACCCTCCCCCTTTCAAAATTCCTGCATCTGCTCATGAGTTCTCTCATTCCTTCCACTCCAGCGTCTAAGCAATGCAAGAGAAATGTAAATCGTCAGATAGGATAAGTATATAAATATACAATTTAGAGTTAAAATGTCTTAGTATCTCCTTTCAAAGCTGCTCCATCCAGGTTACAACATCCATCATCGTTCTAGGATAAAACTTTTCATCATCAATTGCAGTGTTGCAGCAGCAGCATCCCACATTGCACAATAAACACCACCCTCAGCATCACCAAAGCCGGAAATACTTGACCATTTAACGTGGACAGTCCCAGTTCATTTCCGCTAGAAGTTAGATATCTAATAATTAACTTTTATTGTCCAGGTAGTAGGGATGGTTTGTGGCCTTTGTCTTATCGGATGTAGTTGTTCACCAATATATGCCGACAACATGTGAGGATGGTTTGATGCAATGCTGTTCTATATTATACATAACGGCTACCCCCCTATATCCACGATTAAACTTAACTGCTTTAGAAAATGATTTCGCCTCAATCATAATCCAGGTCACAAAGTTTCTCCTTACATTGTTATATGTTTGCTATTGTCTTTGGACAATGTGTTTGTTCACAGACCCCTCACAACATAGCTGGAATATTGCTGAGTGTGTGTTAGACAACGAACAAACCAGGTCCCCTAGGAGATGTTGACATATGTTACTAATGCTTCTTGAAGATTCGTCAAGTGACAACTGTACGGGAGGACAAACAGTAAACATGGCCACCAAACTGCTTGAGGAATGGGTTAGAATCGATGTTCAGTAACCCATGCTTGTCGTAAGAGATGAGTAAAGGGATCGGGTGGTCAGGCTCGCTGACTTGGTTGACACATGTCATTGTATCCCAGTTAGGCAGGTCGATGCCCATGCTGTTGATCACAGGATTCTGTGGTCCAGACTCGAATATTTATAGACCGCCGCCATATAGCTGGAATATTGCTGTGTGTGTGACGTAAAACAAAACCCACTCACTCACATAAGTGAATGAGGGCTTGTTTAATGCTGCTTTTAACAACATTCCCGCAATATCACGGCGGGGACACCCAAAGTGGTATTCACACATTGTATGCAATGTCCTAGATTTTTTATTAAAATAGAAATGACAATGCCCTTTCCACATCCATAAGAAATCTCTTCTAAAAAGCAGGGTCAGTTGTTAATTCTGACTATATCATGGGTGTGTATTTGTTTCAACAAATAAGTATAGTAAATGTATTCTGTACCCATTTCATGGAGTTACCAATAACAATTCCAAGAGTATCTTACAGTTCTGTTAATCTGATGTCTCCCAGCCGAAATCTGTGGATTTCCATGATTGATTCGGTGACATGTTATTGTCGTAAGATGCCACTGAAATCAATAATTTGATAAGGGTCAGAGACCCTACACATCTTAGTTGGAACTCCAGTCCGTGCCAGTATATATGGATAGCCCTAAGTTTTGTGGTCACAATATTTTACACACATGAACATAGCATAGATAAACAGCAATATACTGAATCAATATACATTACATATCATTTCCTTTCTGATCTTCAGGTGCACGTGACCCGCCGACGTTGAGGAGAGATTACTCCAAGGTATGCCAATAGCGATACTTTGACAAATGTATCTATATCTCCTGCTCAATCCAGGTTACAACATCCATCATCGTTCTAGGATAAAGCCTTCCATCATCAATTGCAGTGTAGCAGCAGCAGCATCCGACATTGCACAATAAACACAACACTCAGCATCACCATAGCTGGAAATACATGACCATTTAACATGGACAGTCACAGATCTCCCTGCACGATGTTAAATGTGTAATTATTATATGTGTAACTTTCATTGTCCAGGTAGTAGGGACGGTTTATGGCCATTTACTTATCGGATGTCTTTGTTCACCAATATTTGCGTACTACATGTGAGCATGGTTGGATGTAAGGATGTTCCATATATATATTCACCACAATCGCGGTTCAGGTCTCAATCAACGTTTCTCCTTGCGTAGTTATATGTTTTCTATCCTGTTTAAGACAAAATACAATACATTCAAAACCAGACAAATAGAGATTCCACTTTTTACATTCTAAAAGAGATTAATCATACCATGTTGATGTTTCTGGATGTAGATAGGTATATGCATATAAAAGATCTGTATCAAAACTAATCAAGGATGTGGACCAGGTTTTGTGTAAATATCTCTTCATCCAATGACCCAATCGATCCCAAACTGTGCAAGTGGATGTTTTGTCAGACAACCTAATCACATTTTAAATCACCGATTTTATGCATTTGTAGTAAAGAATCTGTCAATGTAACTGTCAACAAAATAAACAGCAGAGGGAGGGAGCCAATGACCATTAACAGAGGCAGTGCTTGTAGACTTTGTAACGTTCTGCCATTCAGTTCTGTGTATAGCTTATACATCAATCAAAACGTACTTAGCAGGGATACGTTTCTTTTATATTAGAGCAGGTAGGGGCAATCATTTGTGGTCACCAGAGGGGTCCCACTGCCCAGATTAGAGTACATTCTAAAGGGAATCTCAAGGCAGCAAGCACACCTCTGCCAGAGGACGACTGCCCATCACAGTCGACATCCTGATCACATGTGCAGGTCCTTACATCAAGGATGCTTTACCCTTTTGTTGATAGCCTCATGTTAGCAGTAGTTTGTTTGGCCTTTTAGGGTTCCTTCACTGCGGGGAATTCACAGTTAGAGGCAGTTTTGACTGTGATAGTAATTGATGTAAGAATGATGTTGTGTTAGCGAGAGAACAATTCCTTAGTGGAGCTTACCCTCCGGTCCTCCAAGACGGACCCATATCGGAGAGGAGTCAAGATAGTCGTGTTTGACAATCCACGATTCCAACCTGTACACGCTATGTCTCCATATCTGAAGAGAATTGTTCCTCCACAAACTGCAATTGCTGCTGAACAGGCTCAGGTATAGGAGCAGTGACTTTAGTGAATTTAGTGACTCATTCCGTATTGGCGCGGCTACCACGGCAGCAGCCAAATTCGTCGACGACCATCTCATTCAAACGTTGGGTCGGTGGTCCTCAATGGCGTATACTCGATATATTCATACCTCTTTGGCTACACTGAAAGCTGCTCAACTCGCTATGTGTCATTATTAACCTATTTTTAGGTGGCACTCGGCTCTGCACCCCTCAACAATTTTCCTGGGCTCTCCCCAGATTTACTCATTTTATAGCAAGCATCCTTTTAGGGTAAGCTAAACCATATTAGCTTTCCACCCACAAACGTTTATTTGTACTTCAGAGCTGGTGTCTCACTAGCTGTAGTAGTAGCCTTAATGTAATAAGTAATGGGGCATCGCCACTGGCTTTACTTATTATGGGGATAGTGGATGGGCCAGTAAAAGGCTAGTTACTAGGCCTGTCTTACTGCGCTCACTCCATCGGTAGTACGCAATATGCATGTATCTACTTCTTTTTGTACATGTAAATAGTCAACAGTGTTGTGCTATCTACCTCCAGCATGCATCGGGGTGCGACGACCAGCATGTATGACAGCTTCAGCTTCCGTCCAGTATAGATGATAGACGTTGCACCCCGCTTTTTGCCATATTAATAAAATTCAGTTGCCTAACTTCTCTTAGTTGTTTTGCAGACATACAATGTATTTATGGCAAATTTAAAACTTGTTTTAGTCACGATATGGCGAAATATTGCCGATG